ATAAACGTTGACGCGACAGCACAGCACAGTTTCTGTACCTCTACTACGTAAATACTTTTCGAGCGCGAAAAATCATGTCTGAACACGCAACGAATGCAGCGTGACTCACACTCTCCCGCAGCACCGAACCAAAACAAATAAATACTCATATACAAGCTTGTGATAAGTAGACTCACTGAGCATAAAAGTTAATGTGGTTCATGGAACGCTTCGTAGGGAAAACATGATTCGAAGATCGAAAAACAACAGAAATGCGCTAAATACTCTATTTCTTGGCAATAATTTCTGAAGCATACTACATTATTTATACCGTAAATATTATATAATGAAAAAATACACGTCTTGAAGTTCACAAATAAATTCATTAATAGACTGGAATCGAACTTTTTATTTTTGAGTGTGTTATGGGCAAAAAATGGCCCTTATCAACCCACCTCCTTTATCTGTCAGCCTGGTTGGTGTATTTTTCCACTTTTTGAGGTAAATATTTAGAAAAGAGGAAACATGTGAAAAGACAACTTCTTACTGCAAATCATGCAAACATCACTTCACGGCATTAATATAAGTCTATTTATGAACTAAACGTAATCTGCAAATTGTGAAATCTTCAAATGTTTTGGAAGCTATACCAAATAATCCAGTCAAAATAAAAGTTAGGTTGCAAAAAGTCCCACAAAGCTGAAAATTAAATTTTTTACTGTAAACGTTATCGAAGTCATTATTAAAATGGGTCAACACAAGTCAAAAAGTTCATATGACCCATGGTCCAAAAATCAATAGATTTTTGACTAAATGGCTTTATAGTTTACAACTTTAAGTGCTTTATGTCGACCACAATCACCACAGTTTTACTAATTTTTATAATCTAATCTAAAATGTTTTTAAATTGGGTAATTATCAAATAAATGGCATTAAGTTTTTCTAAGTTAAGCCAAAATTTGTAGTCAGTAAGTAAGTAAGTTTCATTAAATTGTATATTTAAAACACACATGGCAACAGCGCGTCGGTCATCATCACTCTTATCGAACCGGTAATCGATCGCAAACGGTAACAGTGGTTAGTATGTTGTTTTGTTTTTGTTCGAATCAAGAGTTCGCCGACATGTCGTTAGTTTACGGTGAAGCTCGTCAGAATTCAAATCTTGCAGCTCAGATTTATCGCGAAAGATTTCGCCAACGGGTACACCTAGACATAAGGACATTTCTGCAAGTGTACCAAAGACTTCGAGATACAGGAAGTGTTCAGCCCACTAATATTCGCACTCGTGAAAGATAGATTACTGTAGAGCAGGAGGAACAAATTTTAAATAGCGTGGATATCAATGCAGATACCAGCACTCCGGAATTAGGCCGCCGCCTAGGACTATCGCATACCATAGTCCATAGAATCCTACGGGAAAATTTGCTTTATCCCTAGTATGTACAACGAGTGCAGTCCTTGTTACCAGAAGAATATCCTCGTAGACTAACATTCTGTAAGTTTTTTTTTGCACAAACATATTGACAATCCGGATTTTTTTAAAAACATTCTAGCGAATGACGAATGTACTTTTACGCGAGGCAGGATATTAAATTTCCATAATACTCACACGTGGGTCCATAAAAATCCTCATACCATTCGTGAAGGTCATTTCCAGCAGCGTTTTAAAACAAATATTTGGACGGGTATTCTTGACGAACAGGTAATTGGCCCTTTCGAGTTACCCCCAAAGTTGTCAGGAGAAGGATACCTTAGCTTTCTAGCCATTTACAGACCAGAACTTTTGGAACAGACCTTAGACAACATGCCATTACAACGGAGACATAATTTGTGGTTTCTTCATGACGGGGTACCGCCACACATTTTTAGAGGCATCATTCAGTATTTGAATGAACGTTATCCAAATCGCTGGATCGGTCGAAATGCTCCTCATCCTCGAAGATGGCCAGCAAGATCTCCTGACCTCAATCCGATGGATTTCTGGTATTGGGGAGAACTTAAAGGGATGTTTTATGGGGCTGGTCCAATAACAACTGAAGCACAACTTCGCGAAAAAAAAAATTAATGCGGCTGAAATAATAAATGGACAATTTCGAGGACCTAGAGTAAGAAGAAACTGGGTTCATCGTAATGAAACTTGTTTGGAAAGTGGAGGACAACATTTTGAACACCTTATTTAAATACAAAAAAAGTACAGTGTAGGTTTTAAAAAGAAAAACAATGTTTGTATCAAACTTGTGTTCCCTATTTATAAGTGGACTTTTTTGATACGTTCAATAAACTTTCACACACCAGGTGAAGCGCTGAGATATTTAGTGGTAAGTCCGTTTCTTTAATTGTTTGCATTTTACGAGTACATTATCAAATAATGAAATAATACCTAAGAGCCAAAAATAACAAACTCCTTTCGTCGTAATTTGCGTCTGGCATTGCGGCGTTGTCAGATTTTATTTTAGTTTAAAGTCGCTTTTCTCTAAAAAAATGCCTCCATCACCCATTTAAATAATGACTATCATAACGTTTACACCCTGTATTTAGGGTTAAGTAGAAGAATAGCCTTTGGATAAACTTCCCATAATAAAGACCAATTCACTGGACAACAAATTTTAGTTTTTTAATTGTATCTTGTGGGAAAAGTGCACTTCTTTGTTAATTTTGGGGCGCTGAATCCAAAAATGACAATGAATTAAAAAAATTAGTAGCGGTTTAGAAAAAAAAACTTTTTATTTTTAAGGATATATTAAAAAAAGTAACAAGATTCATATACTTATAAGAATCACTATATGCGCTGTCTTTTTGCTGTTCTTTTATGGATCGTTTCTGGACTCTACCAAGAGTCCAACAGTAGTCTGCAAGCATGGAAGGATTCCACTTTCCCTGGTATCTTTTTTCCATTGTTGAAATATCCTGATGAATACGTTCGCCGTGCTCATCACTTACGGCTCTGCAATTGTCAGGAAAAAAGTCCAGGTGTGAGTGTAGGAAATGTATCTTAAGAGACATATTACAGCCCATCTTTTGATACGATGACAGCATATTTTTGACAAGGGTTTTATAGTTGTCAGCTTTTCTATTTCCCAAGAAATTAGTGACCACCAGACGGAAATCATTCCAAGCAGTTTTTTCAATACCTGTTAAAGTGTTTTCAAACTGTGTATCTTTCAAAATATTTCGAATCTGTGGCCCAACAAAAATACCTTCTTTAACCTTTGCCTCACTTAGACTTGGAAATTTCTGACGTAGGTATTGAAAAGCTGACCCATCTCTATCTAATGCCTTGACAAAGTTTTTCATTAGGCCCAACTTGATATGCAGTGGTGGTAATAAATTTTTTTTCGAATCTACTAATGGCATATGCTGTACATTTTTTTGACCTGGCTCTAGGAATTGACTAACAGGCCAGTTTTGTCTGGTGTAATGAAATGCCTTTGCCCGACTGTCCCATTCACACAAAAAACAGCAAAACTTTGTGGAGCCTAGCTGCAGCCCAAGTAAAAGTGCAACAACTTTCAAATCGCCACAAATATGCCATTGGTGCTCATCGTATTTTATGCATGTCAATAGGTACTTCATATTGTCATATGATTCTTTCATGTGAACTGCATATCCTACAGGAAGAGATGGTAAAATATTTCCAATATGCAATAACACTGCCTTTAAACTCAATGTTGAACTGTCTATAAACAACCTCCATTCTTCTGGGTTATAGTTTATATTTAAAACCGCTAGTAAGCCGTTAATGTTACTGCAGAAAACCAAGTTATTCTCCATATTGAAAAATGGTTCTAAGTCTTTGTGGCGTTTACGAAAAACACATACCGAAACATCGTCTTCTAACAAGTTCCACTGCTGCAGTCTTGATCCAAGTAACTCTGCCTTACATTTTGGAAGTTCTAAATCTCTTGCAAGATCATTGAATTCTGACTGTGTTATTTTGTGCGGTTGGTGGCATGACGTGCTCGGTATAAAATCAGGATCTCTTGACGTTGATGGCATATCTTCTTCCTGACGAATCACTCGATCGCCATGATCTGATTCGTTTTCTGATTCGCAAGTGTAGGATTCTGGGGGTTTTGGAATAGGATTTTCGTCACTGTGAGGCACAGGTCTCATCGCAGATGGTATGTTTGGGTAGTTAATAACCGATTTTTTTTTCTTGGACATACCTGGCTTGTCCAACACAAGGTACCATGCAAAAGTAACAATCATTAATATGATTTGTAGGCTCTCTCCAAAACTTTGGGACAGCAAAGCGCATAGACTGTTTTTTGCCATTTAACCAGCTCCTCAGACTTGAAGCACATGTATTACAGCAGATGTGGGGTGCCCACTGTTTGTCTTGATCACCTAGTTTACAAAAGAAATAAAGCTGATATGCCTTTGTTATTAGTGGAGTAATAGACCGTCTCTGAGGCGCAAAGGTCACATCACCACACACGTAACAAAACTGATCTGGATTGCTTACACACTTTCGAGACATCTTGCATGAACGTTGTCAGCCAACTGAGGAAAAAATGGCTAATATAAAACAATATAATGTACACGTATGTATAACGTAACACAATCATGCCGATTACATCATCTTTCCCGAATATAAAAATGTAGCACGTGCATTCTTGTGAATTACAGTATATTAACACTGTCACAGCAGGAACACATATAATTACCGTATCTCTAAAACTTGAACTAATATTGAAAAAATAAGTTTCATTCCGGTTTTAGCACATTAAAAATAGTAATATTTTGTTGATTTTATTTAGGATATTTTTTGGCTGTTGATCAGTGTTATTATTATTATCATTATTTACAGAGGGTGATGTAAAACCCAAAATGTATTTTTTTCAAAATGTTTATACTAGTTTATTATAATAGTAATGCCGTTTTTGCTAACAGTTTTGAAAACATTTGATATTCACCAATCCAGCCATTCAGAGAAATTACCTCTTCCTACAGGTTAAACGATTTTTTTACACCGAAGCAGCCGCTCAGGCAGAAGCCTAAACGCCAGAGCAACACGGCTGCTATGAAGAGCTTAGAGAAACTTTATTAATCCGATTTCTAAACTGCCTAATCTCAATAGAACTGGGAAAAGCCTCCTCATGTACATTGTCCCACAATCTCGATACCCAGCGACAAAGGAGCGGTCGTATCGGCCAGTTCTGGATGTACGAAGTTCGATACGGTTAGAAGGGGATGCAGAAGTCTGACCAAAACGTAGCGGTAGAAGAGATATAGAGTGCTTTTCTGAAAGGAATCAAGTTTTTTTACCTCGGTGACAAAAGTTTTGCTATTTTTGATATTTTTTCTATGCTTAACTGATCAATCAAATAAAGCTGAACATTTTTACGGAATTTGCCGAAAGTCATCGAGTTTTCGACTTTTTTTATACTTGTTACGGACAAAATATATACATAGACCAGAGGTTCCGTATCTCAAGCTCAGCCCGTCAATTACCAAGAAGGTGCTGTGCCAAATTTTATGTGTGTATGTTTTCCAATAAATATTGATCTTGATTAGTGGCACGATTCCATAAAAGTTAATGGGACATCTCATAAAAGTGGCCTTAATTCCGCGATGCTATAATGCTTTAATACGTGCACGTAAACTTTTAGTTGAGGAGCCTCAAAGGTAATCAATAAGGTAGCTGCAGTTGGTAGGTGTGAACTGCAGTTGGAGATACGCTAATCAGTAGAGCTCATCGTCTGAAAAAATAAGAACAGGAAGCCAATTCAAACAGTATTAGTGAGTAATTGAACAAATGCGCTTCGATATTCGAGGTACATTACTATACACATTTTGAAACAAAGCGAATGTGTCTATCACCTTTTGTTGCGAGTTACTCACAAATACGAAATGTTTGAATTTGTTTAGAAGAAAAATCGTAAACCATCCTTTTTGCATAAAAATAACATTTATCTTCCGATTCATATCTGCAAGGTACTATAGTTCTCGTTTGGATTTCGTAGCAAACGGACGTGCTGATAAGCGAATCGATGAGTACGAGTACAAATAATATAATCTACGTAATAAAAAGGTGTTCCATAACAAAAGCCACCCCCAATCTTTGTTCATGGAGTGATCAACTACGAGGAAATGGTCAACACCATTAGAGACATATTAGAAGACGAGCAATATATCATGAAGAGCCTCGCAAACAACGTTGTGAAAATAAACTGCGCAACCCCAGAATCATACCGTAAGCTCGTCAGAAACTTCAAAGAAAATAGTATCTTTCACCATACCTACCAACTGAAAGAAGAGCGATCATACAGGGTAGTGATAAGGTATCTACATCACTCTACAAAAATCGATGATATAAAAGAGGAGCTGGGAAAACCACTAAACTTATTCTTTGTAGATCTTGAGCCAGCCGAAAATAATAAAGATATACAGGGTGACTTTGAAGTTGAGTCATTAATTTTCAGATAATGATTGTAGAAGGAAGATAAAAATTAAAAAAAAATTTTACCTTTTTATAAAGTATCCTCCCGACAAGTATTTCAGTGCGGACCTGTATTTGATCGTGAGGTCTTGGAGCACCGGCATGCCGTCGCCTGTGAGGTCTTAAGTCACCTGATTCACGAGCCCGTTGTACTACATTAACAAAGGCACGAGGGGTTGGTTGCACTCGATTGGGAAACCGATCCGCATAAACATGTGCCATTTTTGATTTCGTTTGAGCCACGCAACAGACACCACTATTCACTCACGCGTTACCGACTGAAACTGACTGTATACAACGGAATAAAATAATTGTAAAAACATCGTTCCAAATTCTTTCGCTTTTTTGTTTCCGATGCGATGAACCGATAAGGCGGATTATATCCGTTGTTGCCAAACACGAGCACATAATATTATGATTGAGACAGGGCGGTACTCAAACTTCCAAAGGGCTATAACTTTGTTACTTTAATTTTACCAGAAAAATGTTAAAGGAAAAAAACATTTCTTTTGATCAGATCTACTCACTGTTAAAATAAATGACTCAACTTCGAAGTCACCCTGTATATAACATCAGAGGATTACACAATAAAACTATTCAAATAGACCCACCCAGACCTAGAAAGAACAATATCATCCAGTGTATGATGTGCCAACAATTTGGACATACTAAAACATACTGCAACAAAACCATACTTATGTGTGAAATGTGGTGGTCCCCATAATACTAAGGACTGCAAGAAGCCGAAAGATGCGCCAGCAAAATGTGCCCTTTGTGGTGGCAGTCATACTGCAAACTATAGAGGCTGCGAACACTACCACAGAACATTAAAAAGTAAAAATCCCACCTTCCACCACCTATAACTAGTGAACCAGCTTATGTTAACAATGTTGAGCCCGCCACTAACCGCCAATACTCAAGAACGTATGCAGATGCAGTAGCCAACAACACTGAAAACTCGATAAGTCTAACTTCTACAATGAATAAATTCCTAGATGAATTTAAAAATATGTTCAACCAGCTCCTATAACAAAACAGTCTGATCCTCAATATGATTGCCACGCTAGTCAACAAAATCAATTAAAATGGCCAATTTTCTAAGAATTGCCCAGTGGAATGCCAATGGTCTTCCTAGTCATAAAGAAGAAGTTAAATTGTTTTTACAGCAAAACTATATCGACGTCCTACTAATCAGTGAAACACATTCACTGAAAGAAGCTATTTTTCTATACCCGATTATATACTTTACAATACAAATCATCCCGATGGTACAGCACATGGAGGAGCTGCAGTACTTATCAAAAAAGTATGAATAAAACCATATCGAGGCAGCATCTGTAAAAGTAAACAGTCTTCCTTACGATATAACAGTATCAGCTGTCTACTGTCCACCACGTCACAACCTCAAAAACGAGCAATTCAAAAATTTCGTTATAACTCTTGGTCCATAATTCATTGTTGGGGGGGACTACAATAGCAAGCATACCATATGGGGCTCACGGCTCACAACAACAAAAGGAAAAGAACTGATACAAGTCATATTAGAAAACAACTACACGTTTATTTCATCAGAAGCACCTACTTATTGGCTTACAAATGTAAACAGACTTCCCGATCTTTTAGACTTCTTCATAACCAGTGGCATATCTTCATCTTATACAGAAATATCTTCAAGCTTTGACCTCACATCAGACCACAGCCCAATTACCCTAACTCTGAGCACAGCAGTGATATGTAAGAAACCCACTCCAAGATTGCACAATAACAAAACAAATTGGGATAGATACAAACAGATAATTGTAGATAACATCAATCTCTCAACCAGATTGAAGCAGCCAAATGATATAGAGGTCGACTGCAATAGCTTTATTTGTACACTCCAACAGGCAGCGAAAGAATCCACACCATTCATAGACTGTGCTTGCAAAACAAAAAATATCCTCGTTGAAATAAAGAAGCTAGTTGCAGAGAAGAGAAGAGCACGATCAATTTGGCCTCGTACCCGCACGCCAGCCAGCCGAACAAAGTACAACACCTGCTGTAATAAGCTAAAGTCTAAACTTCAAGAAATGAGGAATGCCTCCGTAGAAGGCTACGTATCTCAACTCACGAGATAACTCCATATGGAAGCGCATAAAAGCTAAGAGAAAACCTCATTCTACATCACCCCCAATCCGTAGCCAAACAGTAGGTAATGGTCAATAGGCAAAAAGCGATAAAGAAAAAGCTGACGCATTTGCACAACACCTTGCCGAAGTGTTCATCCCACATAATGACGATCCAGTGCAGGAAGTAGACGAAGCCAATCTCATCCATCTTTTAACTCAAGAACGGTTAGCACCTTTCTCTCCGAAGGAATTACAAAATGAAATAAATATAAAAAAAGCTCCCGGAGCTGACATGATCACAGGCAAAATATTACAAGAACTTCCCAAGAAAGGCTTGATGAAATTGCTTTATATATTTAATGCGATTATAAGGCTAGACTACTGGCCCATGTCCTTCAAGAGTGCGCTAATAATTATGGTACCGAAACCAGGAAAAAATCTAATGGATATTAGTTCTTATCGCCCGATCAGCCTGTTGCCAGTAATTTCTAAGCTTTTGGAAAGACTTATCCTCAATAGAATAAATGGCCAACTGGATCGGCTAGCTTGGATCCCTAATCATCAGTTTGGCTTTAGGCCGGCTCACTCAACTGTGCAGCAGTGTCACCGCCTTTCGTATATAATCGCCAAATCCTTCGAAAGAAAAGAATACTGTACGGCAGCCTTCCTAGATGTGAAGCAGGCATTTGATAAAGTGTGGCATCCACGCTTGTTGCATAAAATAAAGAAAGTATTGCCAGCCAAGTACCTCAAGTTGATACAATCCTACTTAAGTGACCGCTGCTACAAAGTTAAAGTAAACAGTGAGACTTCAAACTACTACCCTATGAAATCAGGAGTCCCACAGGGCAGCATACTGGGTCCCTTACTATATGTCGTATATACAGCGGATATACCCACAACAACTGAAACAACAGTTGGCACATTTGCAGACGATACGGCGATTCTTGCAACTGATGAAGATCCCGACCACGCTTCAAGTAAACTACAGAGGCACCTAGACGATATAGGAAGTTGGCTGAACAAATAGAAGATCAAAGTCAACGAAACCAAATCCACGCAAAGGACAATGCCCAGCTGTTTCCTTGAATCAAGTCACCATACCTCAACATGCAAGTGTTAAATACCTGAGATTGCACATGGACGACAAAATAAACTGGAAGCAACATTTATCCAAGAAAAGAAAACAGTAGGACTTGAAAAGTAAAGAGTTAAATTGGCTGATAGGACGCAAATCAAAACTAAGCATAGAAAACAAGTTACTGATATACAAAGCCATCATCAAGCCCATTTGGACTTACGGGATCGAACTCTGGGGCTGCGCTAGCAAGTCAAACCTTTCAATCATTCAACGAGCTCAATCAAAAATCCTTAGAAGCATTGCAGATGCGCCTTGGTATGTCTCAAATGACACGCTCCATAGGGATCTGAAAATCCCATTCATCAGGGAAGTCATCATGGAAAGAAGTTGCAAACATCTTGCTAGGCTTAGCGACCATCCAAACCCACTGCTGCCATCGCTATTAGATCCCACTGAGACCATGAGACTGAAAAGGAAATTGCTACTAGACTTGCAAGACTGAGGTGACATCGTTGGATGTCTGATTCATCCCGTCATGAGGTACAACTATTTAAAAATTGTACCATCCAGCAAATTAGCTTATAGAATGTACATACATGCTGATCGCTAATAAAGTAGAAAAAAAAATATCGGCAAGGTAAACTAGTGAATTTTGCTATAAAATTCCCATTGAACTAACCTTGTATATTGCTCAATAAACTAGTAGTGATGGCCGGAAAACAGGCGTTTTGGGATAAACAATTAGAAATTCTCAAAAATTACTTGACCAATCTACTCCAATTTTTTTGTGGTTATTTAGATGTACGAATCCTACGAATTTGAAGTATCTCAAATATCTATTAGTCGGATCTTTTTACGTGTGGTCTCATTTTGTAGGACCCATAAATACCTGAAAATCTTATATAAAGAGTTTATTCGTTCCCGCCAATACTTTCTATTGACGCCCCAAAAACACGTTTTCTCATTCTTTGTTGTCGAATAAAAAGTTTTCCCACAAAAATTGGTGTATCCGTTCATGTTTTGAAAATACCACTGAACAACTTGCAGCAATAAAAGCAGACTATACAATTATTTCGCAAACCAGGTGTATTTTCGTCTTGGGGGGGGGGAGGCGCGCCCCCTCTAAATCTGTAACGTGTTGGTATATATAGCAAGGGTTAATGCGCAACTGATGTGCATTCATTTTTTAATTCATTAACTGCAGAAAACTGCAAAGTACACGACATGGATATAACTGAAAAACTTTTGAAAACTACTTTGCGCTAACGGTTCCATTTCTGTTGATAATTTATTAATGAGCTTGAAACTTGCTTAAAAATACTCGTGGTTAACTATGTGTATAAGGATTAGTTTTTTTTATTCGACTGCATGTTGCTCCGAGTACATACTTTGAGAGCATTAGGGAAGCTCTAATGTTAAACGAAAAGAACAAGCGGTGAAGCAAGGAAGATACTTTCAGTAGCACATTCTTGGAGACACTCGATGCAATAGATGCAAATATATTTGGTAGTAGGAGGACGGGGCTCCTACAATCACGAGCACCATCTGCTGAGATAACCGGGGGTAAGCTTAGTCCAACCTCGCTTATCGCTAAGATGGAACAAATACTCAAACGCAAGAATCTTGAAAAGAAACTCGGACCAAAAAAAGCTGATATAAAAATAACTAACAATTCAGATAGCGATTCCAAAGAAAATGAATAGTTTTATGGCGAATTCAATCATTAACTACATTGATTTGGAGGTTGCGAAGCGAAAATTTTTAGAGAAACTTGAAAAAACTGACGACGAAATTTTGCAGATCGAACAAGTCACCAAATCACAGGACTGTACTTTGTCGCGCCTTCATCGGAGGATAAGGTTGACAGCGTCTAGATTTGGTGAAGTTTGTAGAAGAAGGCAGACAACAAGCTGTAAAGTTCTAGTAAACTCCATCATATACCCAATAGAGTTTTCTAGTAAGGCAATACAAAACTCATTGGACACCGCAGTTCAGTCTTGTGGTTTGTTTATTGATCGCACACATCCATTTCTGGCAGCATCACCTGCATCTACCTGTTACAGTAGACAAGAAATGTACTTAATCCAGGTATAAGCCTACCTGTTTATTGCTTTGCAAAAACTACCTAACTGTTTCCTCTTATTTTGACGGCATAAGATATTTTTATGACTCTCATTCAATTGTTACCATGTACCACATGACCCTTGTAAACATAATTATGTTTACTGACATGAATAAACGAATTGTAATTTGAGTTCTTGAATTTATTTTAGGAAAGATATCAAATTATTTGAATACATTTTTTCTTAGTCGGAACGCATCGTCTCGTCGCTTGGACTGGCAGGACGAAACGGTAGACGAATTTCGCCCAAAAACCGATTTGCACTTCACAGCTTACGTTTCATTTTTTATTATTTCCAAATGAAACTCTTGCAGCGTGCTAAAAACAAAGTCCACAGGGTGCTAACGATCCACTTTTTCGATTTTATCCACTAGGATTTTTTAAAAATATCAACAAGTTGAGCACAAATTCGATAGTAAGCATTTCAACCCACCATAATTCTTGCGCAAAGACAACATTTTGTAAAACGCTCTGATGGCACCTTAGGCAATTATGTCCTGCTTATATCCAGAAAAACATCACAAACTGCAGAACACAAATTGAACGTAACGGCGAAATGGGTACATTTCACGGCTCATGAAATTCAAATGAAAATGCAGGTATAAAATCTACCAAATTAGCGTTCTCAAAAACATATTTCCTTGACATATCGATAATTTTAAAGTTCCACGCTAAATTCCCCTATACATGACTGGAGTGATATCAGAATTCATTCTTCCCTTATGTCGGCAGTTGCAGATAGATCTGTTGGCTTTTGGTGTCAAATCTACAGAGCAGGTACCGATTTTTTCAAATCGTGAGCACATTATTCGTCGGATTTTCGCTACTTAAATTTCCTGTAATCACTGGGATCAGAAGCTCCTTAATAATAGAACGTTAGAACGTGTTTAACTGATATCAAAGATGCAACATTCAGAATCACCCTCCCCCAACCCCCAGTTTTTCAGCAGTACAATTTTTTTCTGGCAATGATAAGGAAGCCCTGTAAAGTCAAAAACGGAATTTCAGCAATTGTTACTTTTTCTTTTTTGTCTATAGCACCGTTGCCACTGGACTAAAACTACAAAGCTTTGACTTACTAGTAACCCCATGTGGAAATTTCATAAAAATCCCAGCCGTTATTTCCAAGTTCATGAGTGATACAGTTTTTCGTGATGTACATGTCATATAACTTAAAAAACATAACATCTCATTTTAGAAATTTTTCGCGATTACAATACTTCCTCGCCAATGACGTAGGAAGTAAAACGGCTTTAAAATCGAGGAGTATCAGCGATATTATGAGTACCTATTTGCAGAACGACTTATCTACGCGATACTATATGAAATAGGGCCACCAAATTATCTGAATACGCCCTTTCTTGGTCCGTACATTGCGCCTCAACGCTTGGGTTGGCAGCACGAAACAGTACACAAAATTCGTCCAAAATACGATTTGTAGAGGTTTGCGCGCTTCGAAATGGACGCTTTATATTTGATATTTTTGGATGAAATTTTCACAGAGTGCTGTAAACAAAACCCCACAGGGTGCTATAAAGCCACTTTTTCATTTTTTTCACTAGGTTCTTTTTAAAAAAATCGCGAAGTTGAACAGAAAAAGTGCGCACTTCAACCCATCATAAAACTTGTGCAAAAACAAAATTTCAAAAAGTGCTCCTATAGCACCCTGGGCAATTAGCTTCTCAACATACTGTATGAATTTCATTCAAAAGTATTGAAAAATGGAGTGTCAGTTTTGAAGCAGCTGAACCCTTGTAAATGGCTTGAACCTCACTGCGTCGAGCCGCCTTAACGGTAAATGTACGGGGGGATGTATGATAAGGGGTTCGAGGTGTATAAATATACCTACGTCAATAAATTAAGATAAATTCTCCCCTTCCCCCGTGCAAGCCCTACAAAAAAATTTCCGAAAATGATCGTTTGAAACGTTTGAGCGATTTTTATTTTTTCGTTTTGGGTATTTTTCTCCGCTGCCACTGGAACAATTTTCAAAAACTACAAGGCCTTTGCATCCTTGTCAAAGTGGTAACATTGTGTACAAAATTTCATCGAAATCCGAGTGGAACTTCTCTAGTTATAGGCGGTTGTAAGATTAGCAGACAAACCGAGAGAGAGAATGAGTGACATGGACATTTCCCCGATAGTAAGTGTGGGAAGTAAAACATCGACAGCCTCTATTAATCGATTATTTGAATTCGGTTAATCAAATAATCGACTTCAGAAAACCAGACAAGCGGCCGCACCTTCCTAAAACATCAAAAAAAAAAATGTCAAAATTCATATACTAAGTGACATATAAATCCGAACACCCAGTTTAAATGGTTTTATTTTAATAAAATTTTGTATAAGTACTTAATGAAGCATAATAAGTAAATAATAAAAATTTCAAAATGATTGAACTGCTTTAAAGCCTTTTGACCTTTAATAATGTGTGGATGCACCCTGATGTGCTACGCATTCTCCAACGCGCCTAGGCATGCTTCTGATTAGGTGGTCAATGTCCTCCTGTGGTATCTCATTCCAGGCAACCACCAACTCCTCTCGAAGTGCTTCTAGAGTCTGAGGAGGACGTTGCAAATTGAGCAATCTCCTACCCATCATATCCCACACGTGCTCAATTGGGGATAAGTCGGGAGATCTTGGTGGCCATGGTAACAATGTGACATCATTATGTTGAAAGAAGTCTAATGTGACTCTTGCAACATGTGGTCGGGCATTATCTTGTTGGAAAGTTGGATCTGCCAGGGTGTCAAGACAGGGTAAAAGATGGGGCTCTAGAACTTCGTGGATATAACGCTGCGCGTTCATGTTACCTCTGATGAAGATTAAAGGTGACCTGGAACCATAAGCTATAGCACCCCCAAACCATAACTCCAACAAAAAACTGTGGATTCCTCCTTTCACCACGTCGCCTGCTAACCCTGGCACGATCATCGTGCATGCCTAAACAAAATCGAGACTCGTCACTAAAGACAATACTGTTCCATTCCTGATCCCAGAGTGACCGTTGTCTGCACCACTCAAGGCGATTACGTCGGTGTTCTCGAGTTAAAGGGAGGACCCAGTGTGGCTGGTATGAAAACAAGCCAAAACTTCTCATTCGTCGGTAAACACTTCGCATGCCAATAGGTATTCCGTGTTCTGCAAACCATTCATTTGCAATGGACCTGGTAGTGGAGAAACGGTCCCTTAAGGCCAATAATCTTAGGCGGCGATCTTCACGGTATGTTGTTCTACGGCGGCGTCCAGTGCCCCTTGCTCTTTGCGTACGGCCTTCTCGAAGCCATGCCTGACAACACCTAACCACAGTGTCTACACTTCTTTGCACTCTAACTGCAATTGCCCGAAAAGAAAGTCCAGCTTCCCGAAGTCCCACTATACGGCCCCTATCAAACTCACTAAGTTGACGAAATCGTACAGGTCTCCGGCATCGTAACCGATCGTAAAGGATGTCAAGAACCAAAATCCGCCAAGGTTGATTCTTTACTGCGGCTGAAATATTCATTTTTAGAGCGTTAGTAAATTAAAAAAAAGCAGTATAAAACCAACTTTTATTAAAATAAAACCATTTAAACTGGGTGTTATATGTCACTTAGTATATGTATGGTATAAATGTACCACCGGACGTCTATGACGTGTAAACTACAAACAAACAGAATCTTTGCATCTCCTTTGATAGTGGATATCATTTGCAGAATGTGAATAAACTTTCGTGTAAATAGATATAACAACTGTGTATGGTGTTGTGAGTGTTTTGTTTTAATTCTAAGGAAAAGCGCGACGATACGAATTGACTAAACGAGTATCCATCACGCTTTGACGTCTACTGAGGTGAAAAGCTGATCAGCAAGTGACATTTTAGTGTTAGTCTGCGAGGTTGGCAATAATGAATCGGGTGTAAGTCTAGTAAAATTTATTTGTAGCGTTTGGCCTTTTCTATGCAAATGAACTTCTCTAAATAAAAGAGCTGTTAGCAAGTACTAAACGAATCTGTCGCGTACAAAAATCAAAACAAAATACAGCTCTGACTATCTGACGTTGACGGCTCCGTCAGAATTATGTGTCCTGTGCCGATATGGGGAATACTCGAGGCTAGGCCTTATCTGGGCCTTGTATAGAGTGAGAAGGTCATGCGGAGAAAAGTACTTCTTAGCCCTAAACAAATAGCCTAGGATTTTGAATTGACGGCACTTGGGCGTTGGAGGGAACGCCCGTGGTGGAGTTGGCAGCAAAGATCTTGGCAACCACTTCCCCCTTGGCCTTTGAGTCGGATACAATCGTTCCATCCGGACACGTAAGTGGTGGAAGGCTACTTTGTTCTCTTCTATCTATTCTGTTCTGTGTGCCTTGGTAGACGGTTTCGGGCTGCCTAACGTGAAGGTAACACTTGGCGGATTTCTAAGGCGGGGCATGTCGCATACACACGTGTTCTCTTGCTAGAGTCCTTGAGAAGAGAAACAACATTACACAAAATGAACTGGGCTGGCAAGTTTGGTCAAAATAAACATTTATTCAATTTCGAAATATGTCGACAAGAGGAACGGAATCACTGTTTCTTGTCTTTTTTCTTTTTAGACGATTCAGGACCACTTTCTGGATACTCAGTCTGTATAGCAGTTTCTTCATCTGTACTTGTCCTTATTCTACGTTTATCCCTCGGTTTGGCCTCTGACTCAAGATGCTGTTTTGTTATCAGCTGAGCAGGTACAATATCCTTACTGGGCACTGATAATCTCACGCTTTCGTCAGCAGATTTTGACAAGACTGAATCTCTGTTGTCCTTGCTCGTACCTGCACAAGAAACGATATAATTATACGTATACAGTACTTTTCAAAAATTTCCCTACCTTTCTTACGTTTTGAACGGGTGAGGTTAGCATTCGCGGAATGAAATTGACGCATGAATTCTATATTTTAGCAGAAAAATGGCAATTAAACATTTAAATATGGCGTCTGGACGCTATTAGTTTCACATTTTTTTAATGAAATGGTGGGTCGTGTGATATCTAATTTTGAGGATCCTTATGAATACTTTATAGTCCTACCACCTTTGAAAATGGGGGGAGGAATGAACAAGAAAACTGAATCCGACCTTGAAATTTCGAGTTTCCAAAAAATATTTTGTTCAATTCTAAGAGTTTGGGATCGCTGAATACGAATAGTGAGGAAATACTTTCAATACTGAGACTATATAGTCATATCGTATAGTCGTATACTGAATTAATTTCACCAAATTTCATATATTTTCAACAACAAACCAATTTAGTTTTGAATTTTCTCTGTTGGTGCTCATCTTTATGATTCGATGATATATATATATATAACAAAAAAAAATTATATGATAATTTTCTCTCTCTCTCTATATATACATATACAGGGTGTCCGCAAAGTTGGGGTTGTCCTTTTAAGAAACAACTACCCTTGAAATAACAAAGGTAATGTGTAGTGAAACGAGGGCGACCAAGTAAAAAAAAAATAAAGGAAAAAGTACTCACTCTCCAGTTGACGAGAAGGGCTAAGTACGTCTCTGCCCGAAATCATACCGCTCCAACAGAAAATGAAATCAGCTGATGCGCTACCGAGCAGACGCAGGCGGTGGTGAAGACCACGAACAGAGGTAACAAATATGACGGCGTTGCCGCGTTTTCAGTTTTTAGGTAAATGTACTTTATAGGTATTGTTCGAAGTTATCGCCGTTTGATTCAAAAACACAGGTGCGTGCACGACGTAGCTTGTTCAATTCTGAGACGAAGTTCGTCAACCGTATGCACTTCAGTTTTGTACACTAAGCGTTTCATTTCTCCCCATAGAAAAAAATCACATGGTGTTAAGTCTGGAGATCGCGGAGGCCACGCTACGGGTCCATTACGTCCGATCCACCTATTCGGAAATAATTCATTCAAAAACTCACGCACTTCGCTTCTAAAATGGGGCGGTGCACCATCGTGCAGAAACCACATTGATTGTCTTACACTTAATGGCAGATCTTCTAACAAGGAAGGCAAAATGTTTGTTGAAAATGTGCCCGACGGACAGCGTGCGGATTTTCTAGTGACCAAACATGAGTGTTGCGAAAGTTATTCACCCCATTACGCGTGAACGTAGATTCGTCTGTCACCAATATGCACTTCAAAAAGTCCGGATTATTGTCATGTTGATGCAACAACCACTCACAAAACCGCACTCTTGCTGGAAAATCGCCAGATTGAAGGGCTTGTACACATTGGACGTGAAACGGATACAGCCCCTCTTCACGCAGCGTTTGCCACACAAATCTGCGGAGCCTTGGATGATGTCGTCTAGGGAAACGATCTGCATACACTCGCGAAGCCTCTGTAGCATTTTGAAGACATTCGCCATAAATTAACAACATATCAACGAGTTCATTATTGGTGTATGGGTGTGCCATTATTATTTTTTTTTTGAAACGCAATCGATTATACGGGTTCGTTTACCACTACACGCGTGACCGTAACCGTCGGTTGAAGGTTGCATACTGACCTGACACACTGACCCCGACCCAGTTCTGTCGTCGGGTTGAGCCAGTGACCTTGTACCACTCGGTTATGTCGCGGGTCGCGGCTACAGGACGGTATTCAGATATTTTTGATGTTGCAGAGCCCTTTATCTCGGTTCCCGTCGTGTAAAGGAAAACCCCAACTTTGCGGACACCCTGTATACAGGGTGTTCCTTAATGATATGCGAATATTTAAGGGTGTGAATCCACATGAAAAATTAATGTCAGTTTGCTTTATAAACTATGGTCCAAAAATGTTTCCTTACAAAAATTCGGGGTGTTGAGGTTTTAGGAAAAAAATGGAAATTAATTAATATTTTCAGAACCGCTTCAGACATTTCACTGATATTTAGTACGTAGTGAAAGTTAATAAAGTTGCATATTTTTCAATGCAACAATAATTTTTAGCTTTAACGGTGGCGTGCGTTCGGGAATTGTAAGCTGACAGATTCCCTAATAGACACCTGCCTAATTCAAAGACTTTCCAATGAATCGATCAGCGGTCACGAGAAACTGGTAAGAAATGATTATAGCCTTATTTTGAGTAGCAAGAACCATTTGGATTTTAGGTAGTTTTGCTCAAAATATGGACCGACATAGTGGAGCTCCCAGAACCCTTCAAGAAAATATTTTAGATGCTGTCTTTGAAAATCCTACAATAGGGGTTAGGAATGTAGCTCGTGTTTTTCTAGTTTCCTGACATTTTTGCTCAACAAATAACTATCCAAATACGAGTATAACCTTTGCGTCTGTAGATGAGTTACCATTTATTTTACGAATAGAATTATTTGTTTTTTAGTCAGTCATTTAATTCAAGCTAACGAAGAGCGGGAATTGAAAAATCTACGACTTCAGGTGTACGGCTGTCATTCTTTAAAAATGTTGGAATGATTTTTACCGGTTTTCCGAAAAAGCGTATAGTGGATGCGAAAGCCCAAACATGAAAGGTTTTTCCACCAGTGATTCCACTTTTTCTGAGTCTAAGTACTTTGACTTTTATACTTTGGTATGGTATCCTGTGCGTATGCAATAACTAAATCTTTGCTGTACTTGCTATTCGCCTACAGGACCAACAGTTCATGAGCTGGCAAGTTTTCAATACCTCATTGCTTGGAACTCTTTATATGGAACAGTTAATTATCATTTCCAGGGGGAACTACGTTTGTAGGGTCCATTGTATGATTTAATTGCAAAATAGTTGAATAGAACAATATCCTAGGTCTGTTTGCCAGGCAAAACTTGTTTCGTTAAAATTATGCTTCTAGCTGCCACCAACACGGTGAGAACAGCAGTGATTAAAGTACATACAGAGTGGCTGGAAATTTTTGAACATCTAGCAAGAATCGTCTTCCACAAGGGCGGCAGTGGTATGATCGGGGACAGACGGCAAATAGTGTGCACTATAACTGTTTTGCGAATAACAAATTACTGCAATTATTGACGAATAAATACGACAATGGAAACTTTGAAAGTTGCATGATAACTCAGAAATTAATATCAAAATTTAATGAGTAATGTCTTGTCAAAACCACAAAAAAGTTGTTGCACTGGATTGAAAGGAGATGGTAAGTATTAATATTAATCAATTCGCAGGAAGACAAAAAAGAAGAATTAATTTTGTTATTTAACAATAAATTATCATTTATAAATTAGATTTAACATTTTAAACACGCCCTCCCCCCCCGAAGACGAGAAGAACATCTTCCAGAACATGAAGTTTTTTGACCCCCCAGACACAACAGACACAAATCCTGGATCCGCCGTTGAGCAGCCTGATCTGGCAAATAAAATTGAACGAAAATAGACCGTTTTTTACTAGTAACTCATGGAATCACTATTACTAACCTCAGTGCCGAACGAGGATTTAAAGTTACATGATTATATTTTAGTGTATCAAATAAAACAAATTAAAATTGCCGACCGGTGCCTCTTTCATAAGTCTGCCATTGAACAGTATTGAAACATCAAGTGCTCATAGTATCTGACTCCGACCACAAATACCGATACTGTGCTACGACACTGGATCGTATGAGTGATCTTGTAAATCATATGTCACTCATGTCACCTTCTGGCTTTGTTCACACCCGCACTCCCCCTGACCTATTAAAATGTGCGCAAAGTCTTACTTATGATTGTAATGGGTGATTTTTTTGCTAGTATCTTTTTGGCAACACTGTTTTTGACAGATGACGCGTGAATCGTGTTTTGTGTCATTGTCAAACTTGTTCAGTTTGGTCTATAATTTAACCATGAATCGACTTACGAACGAACAACGCTTGCAAATTATTGAATTTTACTATCAAAATTCGGAAGCTTGTGACTAAATTTCGAACCCAGTTTACATTATTGGACATTAAACCACCAACACGCAGACGTAGAGTGAGGACTGAAGAAAATATTGCGCTTGTATCCGCCAGTGTTAGTGATGACTGTGAAATGTCGATTCGCCGCCGTTCGCAGCAATTGGGCCTCTGTTCCTCCACTACGTGGAAAATTTTGCGACAGGATTTGGGTGTAAAACCTTATAAGATACAGCTGGTGCAAGAATTGAAGCCACACGACCTCCCACAACGTTTCCAATTTGGTGAATAGGCGCTGGCAAAGTTGGAGGAAGATCCACATTTTTATCGAAAAATTGTGTTCAGCGACGAAGCTCATTTCTGGTTGAATGGGTACGTTAACAAGCAAAATTGCCGCTTCTGGAGTGAAGACCAGCCAGAAGCATTGCAAGAGCTACCAATGCATCCCGAAAAAATCACTGTTTGGTGTGGATTATGGGCCGGTGGCATCATCGGGCCGTACTTCTTCAAAGACGACAAAGGCCGGAACGTAACTGTGAATGGCGAGCGCTACCATGCGATGATAACAAGCTTTTTTTGCCCAAAATGGAAGAGCTGGACTTGGCTGACATGTGGTTTCAACAAGACGGTGCCACATGCCACACCGCACACGAAACAATGGCCCTATTGAGAGGCGAGTTCGGTGAACAGTTTATCTCACGTTTGGGGCCCGTCAATTGGCCGCCTAGTAGATCGTGTGATTTAACGCCGTTGGACTATTTCTTGTGGGGCCATGTTAAGGCTAATGTCTACAGGGATAAACCAGCAACGATTGACGCACTGGAAGCCAATATTGAAGCATTTATTCGTGAGATACCGGCCGATATCTTGGAGAGAGTGTGCCAAAATTGGACCTTGCGCATGGGCCATCTAAAGCGGAGCCGCGGCCAACATTTACATGAAATTATCTTTAAGCATTAAATTATTTCGACCGTTCTAACGACTCATATAAAGATTTAATCGTTTTTCAAATTTTTTGTGTTTTTTTTGAAAATCAAATCCTATACCTCTTAAAAAATCACCCGTTATGAATGCATTAAGAGGTCTATATTTTGTAGTGGTCGATGTTAGAATCTATTGCTCAAACCAGTCATCTGCCACATAGTGCTCAAACAATTCTTATACTCACTTGCAGCGTCTGGATCAAACATGAACCACTGGTCTTGTCTCATTCCATTAATTCGAATTCTTGACTTCAGCGGAGCTAGTGTTTTGCTTATCAGCGACTTGCACATAGGAGAAACTTTCGGGTCTTTCGGAAAAACCACCTTATTAGATACCTTAAAAAGAACAATTACAAAAAATATGTTTTTTGCATTTTTAGCAACCCCCCTCCCCTCCCCACGCTCTTCAAACTTCTAATCATCGGCCATCAATGCAATAAATGAAGTGCGTTTTCACATTGTGCTTTCATTTTATGATTGTAAACAAAGATAGCAAAATGTGTGCCTTTTGCGGTAGGTACTAGACCCCAATATAGAAGTAATAATTCACAGTAAATATACTAAGTGACATATAAATCCGAACACCCAGTTTAAATGGTTTTATTTTAATAAAAGTTGGTGAATGTATTTATCTTACTGTAAATAATAATAAATAAAAAATTTTCAGTCTTATCAGTTGGACATTCCCGTTTTTATACTGCTTTTTTTTATTCACTAATGCTCTAAAAATGAATATTTCAGCCGCAGTAAAGAATCAACGTTGGCGGATTTTGGTTCTTGACATCCTTTACGATCGGTTACGATGCCTAGAGTACGGAGACCTGTACGATTTCGTCAACTTAGTGAGTTTGATAGGGGCCGTATAGTGAGACTTCGGGAAGCTGGACTTTCTTTTCGGGCAATTGCAGTTAGAGTGCAAAGAAGTGTAGACACTGTGGTTAGGTGTTGTCAGGCATGGCTTCGAGAAGGCAGTACGCAAAGAGCAAGGGGCACTGGACGCCGCCGTAGAACAACAGACCGTGAAGATCGCCGCCTAAGATAATTGGCCTTAAGGGACCGTTTCTCCACTACCAGGTCCATTGCAAATGAATGGTTTGCAGAACACGGAAGACCTATTGGCATGCGAAGTGTTTACTGACGAATGAGAAGTTTTGGCTTGTTTTCATACCGGCCACACTGGGTCCTCCCTTTAACTCGAGAATACCGACGTAATCGCCTTGAGTGGTGCAGACAACGGTCACTCTGGGATCAGGAATGGAACAGTATTGTCTTTAGTGACGAGTCTCGATTTTGTTTAGGCATGCACGATGGTCGGGTCAGGGTTAGAGGGCTACGTGGTGAAAGGAGGAATCCACAGTTTTTTGTTGAAAGACATGTTCATCACACTGTTGGAGTTATGGTTTGGGGTGCTATAGCTTATGGTTCCAGGTCGCCTTTAATCTTCATCAGACGTAACATGAACGCGCAGCGTTATATCCACGAAGTTCTAGAACCCCATCTTTTACCCTATCTTGACACCCTGGCAGATCTAACTTTCCAACAAGATAATGCCTGACCACATGTTGCAAGAGTCACAATAGACTTCTTTCAACATAATGATGTCACATTGTTACCATGGCCACCAAGATCTCCCGACTTATCCCCAATTGAGCACGTGTGGGATATGATGGGTAGGAGATTGCTCAATTTGCAACGTCCTCCTCAGACTCTAGAAGCACTTCGAGAGGAGTTGGTGGTTGCCTGGAATGAGATACGACAGGAGGACATTGACCATCTGATCAGAAGCATGCCTAGGCGCGTTGGAGAATGCGTAGTACATCAGGGTGCATCCACACATTATTAAAGGTCAAAGGGCTTTAAAGCAGTGCAATCATTTTGAAATTTTTATCATTTACTTATTATGCTTCATTAAGTACTTATACAAAATTTTATTAAAATAAAACAATTTAAACTGGGTGCTCGGATTTATATGTCACTTAGTATATTTTGGCGTAGAAATAATAGTTGGATGTTTAAAGCTGGTGGATTAAAGGACCTTATGAGTTCTTCATAACCTCGGAATACAAAATCAGTGCCTTTTAGAATGGTAGAATGGAGAACGGTCGAAAGTTGAACGTTTTTGTACATTGAATTACATGAGTCATTGGGATCTCGGAAACTGTAAGAGATACGAAGTCGCTCAAATCAGAGCAAAGATGCGTATTTAGGTAATCAACAAAATGCCGCAAGTACTGCAACGTGGGAAGTATCTACCTACTTAAGTTACGTTTACTTTTTCAGCAGAATAGAAAGACCTTTTCGTACGCACCTGCTTTATAAGCTCCCTGTAGTTACTATCGTCGAAAGGCAGCCTCCCGAAGACCATCGCAAACAGGACCACTCCCATGGACCACACGTCAGCATGGTGGGGCTGGTAGGGGATTCCCCTGAGTATCTCGGGAGAAGCGTACGCGTAGCTGCCGCAGTAGGTCTCGCTCAGCAGGAACTCTCCGCTTTTCGTGCGTAAGTGCGATCTGGCGAAGCCAAAGTCTGACAGTTTCACGTTCCATTTGCCGTCCATCAGCAGATTCTCGCACTTTATGTCCCTATATAGGAGTAATCAGATGATAGGTGTTGTATCGGTTGTTTCAAATTCGACCCACACCAATGGGATCTCGGACACGGTAAGGGATAAGAAGTTTCTTAAATGGGAGATGCGTATCTAGCTAACTAACGAAATACTACTACTAATACTACTACGTCTTGATCCGGGCCTAAAGGCCATTTTTGGTTGGAATTTCTTGCTAACACTTCTCTAGCAGGAGTGGCAAGCTTCTTCAGAGGTCCTTCCATTTCCGATGCTGGATGTAGACTGACGATTTCTCTTGCGCAGGTTGTATTTATACCGTAGGGTAGGGGATGTGGCTTGTTCCGCTTCAGTTGACTTCGGGATGTCGATCGGTACTGCTTGAGCGTTTCTGAGGATCGGGTGCCAGATCGGGTTGAGTCTGAGGGTCTCTTCCATCCTGTTGAAGTTATCTGGATGTTTGTGAATCTCGATAGCTTCCCTGACCAGTCTATTGTGATAGCCGTTGACACCAACCTGCAGCTCTCAAAGTGTATCCTGTGGTCCCCATTGCTTAGTGCATGTTCAGCTACCGCAGACTTCTCAGTTTGTCCTAGCCGGCAATTCGTTCCCATTGATCTTTTCGTGGTTCCAATGAATACTTTGCCGCATGAACACGGTATGCGATAGACTCCAGCAGCTGAGAGTGGGTCCTTCTTCTCCTTTGCCGATCTGATGGTTTGTTGGATTTTCTTCGTAGGCTTGAAAATTGTTGTAATGTCATGTCTCTTCAGGACTCTGCCAATCCTGTCTCTTGGCACAAATGGAAGATACGCTTGAGAGGTGGTGGGACGCTGTTCGGTTTCACGTGGCCTGGCTGATCTCGAGCCCATCGATCTTTCGATGTTGCTCTTGCTGTAGCCCTTTGCTTCGAACGCAGTTTTCAAGTTCTGTCTGGAGGTTCTCCGGTTCGCAAATCCTTCGAGCGCGTTCTGTCAGGGTTCGTATAGGACGCGGGGTTTTATGAGCAGACAGACGGAGTGGCAATGGGAAGTCCACTTAGCCCAGTCATAGCCAACCTTTTTATGGAACACTTTGAGACAGGCAGCAGCGGTGGCCGCAGTAGTAGACTCTTCGGTCTCCTGATCAGTCGCCGTGCGCTGTGCGGGTTCGAATCCCGTTCCAGGAGAAATTTTTCTCTTGCTATGGATGTTGTGATTGTCCGTAGGTGGTAGACGGTCTCTGACTGTCGAACGCGGAGGTACCACCCGGCGGATCTCGTAGGCTGAGCCAGAATGTGTGTATGTTGCATGCACACGTGTTCCCTAGTGGCGTTCCCCCTTTTCCCTGTATCCCCCTATAGCACCACGGTACAAAATGGGTGTTTAGGCCTTAGGCCTTCGAGGTAGTTGGAGTATAAAAAAAAGCAGTTTATCAACTGGCCGCGAAAGCGTTAACCAATTTGTCTAACGAAATACTGCTTAGAATGTTTAGAAAAACACTTCCAGAGACGACAAAAACAGAATTTTCTCAGCTCGTTTTAACTTTTTCCCGGCTCTATTTATCGTGGGACTTTAAAATGACATTAAACATTGTCCCTTCCACAGTACGTGACTAAACCTTCTTCAGTGTATATACGTATACAGGGTGGCGCATCGAAAACGGAACAGACGCATTTACTGGCAGCTCAGTTTTTTTTTAAAAACGCTCAGACCCGTCGATTTTGTTTTCGAGGGGGACACAAGTTTGGCAAAAAGTCACGTTAACACGTGCAGACCCCTGGGCGGTGGTGACTCCACCCCCAAAATCTTAAATGGAAAGGGGGGTCGAGTGATACCTTTATTAAAGGTCTTTCAATTCCCTTAAATAAAACTAACACATCATCATTAGTGGAGATCAATACATTTGGCAGTAAAGTAATTTAAAAATGAAGAATGAACTGACCCGTTATTCAAGTAAATGTTGAAAATGGCCACTATGACTCTCCATGCAATAATAAAGATTTTGCTCAAAACGTTGCACATTTTGCAATATATGAGGAGTAATTTGAAGGCACTCATTCACAATTCTTAGCATAGATTTTGCTTTTTAAATGACCCTACATAAAGAAATCCAAAGGTGATAAATCTGGCGATCTTGGGGGCCATTCAATGGCACCTCGTCTACCAATCCATCGATCTGGAAACGTCTGATCTAAATATTGTCGAGCACGTAATGCGTAATGTAGTGGGGCACCATCCTGTTGGAACATCAACCTATCCGCAATGTACCGCCAATCATTCTGATTTTCAATTATAGCTGTTAATGCAGGATCTATGGCGTCTTCCAGTAATTCCAAATACATTTCACCGGTCAAATTTCCAGGTAAGAAAAAAGGACCAACTAAATGATCGCCAAAAATACCAGCCCAAACATTTAATTTTTGTGGCTGCTGTGTATGAAACTCATCATAAATTCTGGGATTAGAATCTGCCAATATCGGCAGTGATGACGATTTACTACGCCATTTAAGAAAAAGGAACATTCGTCGGAAAAGCAAGTGTTGAATAGAAAATGTTCATCGTTTATAATTCGTTCACTCATATCTTCACAAAATTGTAATCGCCGATCAAAATCGTCTTCATAAGTTCTTGTACCAGGTGAATTTTATACGGATGAAAACTTTGGGCCTTTAGAATCCGTTGGACAGTATGTCGACTAACACCACACACAGTCTCCAATTTGCGGGTACTTAACGTAGGATCTACATAAACTTGCCCTAAAACCCCCACTTCCATTGCTTCGTTCCTTATGGGATTTTCAATGTTGCGTTTTTTATTGGCGACTGACCCAGTTTCCCTAAGTTTAGCTACTTGTTCTAGAACATATTTTCGATGCACGTTACTGTTCTCATGTTGCTCATTAAATATTTCTGCTGTTCTATTAGCGCACTGATTATTTCCGAAAAATATTTCGATAATTTCAACTCTTTCTGCTGTGGAATATACCATGGTTAATTTATTTAATAAAGCGTTACAAGTTATTTTAGCAACGCAAACTATGTATTTAATTCCTATTTAAAATGAGTACGAGATATTTCCTTATCTTTCTTCAAGAAATAACGCTCCAATAGCTATTTTCAACAACAAAATTATAAACAACCATGGACGTAGTGAAGGAAAGCATTTACTTATTAAGTAAATTCTTTTAGTCAAATTTCTTCTGTAAGTAGTACAAACTAATCTGATGTACATTAAAGTCTACTTTAAGCTTTAAATCAGTAAATCTTCAAAACTACTGAACTGAAGCTCATGTATTTTACATCATTATAAAGGGAATTGAAAGACCTTTAAAATAAGGTATCACTCGACCCCCCTTTCCGTTTAAGATTTTAGGGTTGGTGTCTCCCCCGCCCAGGGGGCTGCACGTGTTAACGAAAAAAAACTGAGCTGCCAGTAAATGCGTCTGTTTCGTTTTCGGTGCGCCACCCTGTATATGTTTTTATCGAGCTAGATATTGATATGAAGTAATAATCGGATTCATCGATCTCTTCGCCTGTAGGCGTTATGCTCCAGTTTTGTTGTTGTTTATAATTGTAAATCCTACGGATTTGAAGAATTTCAAGTAGTTGCGTGAAATTATCGTCGCATTACCAACAAGTGCCTCGTTTTTCGGCCATAACATTTTTGCTATTAGTCGTGTGTGTGTTTTACGTGTAGTCTTATTTTGTGGGTCTCATAAATACCTAAAAGTCTTATATGAAGAGTTTTTTCGTTCCTGCCGACACTTTCGATTGAATCTCAAAAAACACGTTTACTCATTCTTTGTTGTCGAATAAAAAGTTTTCCCACAAACATTGCTGAACCCATTTTATGCTTCCATGTTTTGATTACCCCCTTGAACAACTTGCAACAATAAAACCAGCCTTTACAATTATTTAGCAAACCAGGGGTATTTTCGTCTAATATGATCAGACTAATGACGCTGTGATATTCTATGATCAGTGAATAATGAGGTAAAAAAATACGCAGTATTAAAAGAATATCAGGTACATGCTACTAGCAGAGTGATATAGCTGGTTTCACGTTTTGATTTTGTACGAGTATTCTCTAAATTCCTGTATAACTTTCTTTTAACAGGTTTAAATGTAAGAGTAGCCATTGCCTAAATTTTTCTAATAAAGCCAGAATTATTATTACTATTATTATTCCGGGTATTTCTATAAATTCGAGACAGCTAAAATGCTGGGATATGTATTCGCCTAGGAAGACTTAACTTCAACCAACTGATCTTAGACACCTACGAATTTTCGTACTAGATGGTAGGTTTGTAGGTTCACTGTTTCAGCATTAAGGATATGTCGCTTATAGCTCCGTCAGCCGATATGACATAATGGCAAGAAATGTATACGGGGGCGGTTCAATAAGTGCCCGTGGTAGAAATGAAGAGACCATTTTTTCCAAACTTTTTTCTAAAACATAGTCCGCTTTCAGAAAGGTACGCTTTTCCCAACGTTCCTGCCATTTTTAACCCCTCCAAAGAACAGGATTTGCGAACTCTCCAAAATACGCCTTTGTCTCGGCGATGACTTCCTCGTTTGAGCTATTTTTTGAATACCGAGGGTGCGGCAGCACTTCATAACATACAACCATGTAGTTTGGCGGCGTCAACTCCGGATGAATGTGCTGATGCGTTATCGCGATGAAACAGCACTATATTTTTTGCCAAATGAGGCCGTGTCTGATTTTTTGTCGAAGCGGTCCCATAACTCACTTTCTCTAAAAAATCCATGAGGATGACGCCGTTCGCATCCCAAAAAATCATCGCCATGACCTTCTTTGGTGCAGATTCACCGGGAGAAGTCCATCGTTTTAATTGTTGCTTAGTTTCTGGCGTGTAATGATGAGTCCAGGTTCATCAACGGTGACAGTTCGACGTAAAAACTCATTCGGATTTCGCTCAAATTGCTCCAAACACTGCTTCGAAGTTAACAGCCTCACCGTGGGCAATCGCGGCACCCACAGGGCCGACAATTTTTTCATCTACAACTTATCTTGCATAATTTTCATTGCCGTTCCGGTCGACACATCTACGGCTTCTGATATTTCGCGCACTTTCGTTCGTTGATCAGCGAGAATCGTGTGGATTTTTTGAATCAATTGCTCGGTAACCACGTGTGCCGAGCGTCCTGGTCGCTCCTCATCAAAAAGGGATGTTCGCCCACGTTCAAATTCGTTGAACCAATATCTAATTGCGGTCACAGATGACGAAGTGTTCCCATAAATAGCATCCAACTTCTTCTCCTCCTTCTATCTCCTTGCATTTTTTCCATCAAAAAACAAACGATACTGCTCCTTTTCCATCATAGCGAAAATCACGAAACACTGTTACTCAAATAGCTGTCAAACCAAACTAACCTATCAGTCTGAAATTTGTTGTTCCGTCATTTGATAGATGGCAGCACACGATAATAACACCAACTTCCCTCAGGAACGCCCACTGTCGTCAAACACCGATACTTATTGAACAATAAGCCTCGTAGTCGTATAGTGTTTAGTCTACATATGCGTTTATTATTATTATACTAAGTGACATATAAATCCGAACACCCAGTTTAAATGGTTTTATTTTAATAAAATTTTGTATAAGTACTTGATGAAGCATAATAAGTAAATGATAAAAATTTCAAAATGATTCCACTGCTTTAAAGCCCTTTGACCTTTAATAATGTGTGGATGCACCCTGATGTGCTACGCATTCTCCAACGCGCCTAGGCATGCTTCTGATCAGGTGGTCAATGCCCTCCTGTGGTATCTCATTCCAGGCAACCACCAGCTGCTCTCGAAGTGCTTCTAGAGTCTGAGGAGGATGTTGCAAATTGAGCAATCTCCTACCCATCATATCCCACCCGTGCTCAATTGGGGATAAGTCGGGAGATCTTGGTGGCCATGGTAACAATGTGACATCATTATGTTGAAAGAAGTCTATTGTGACTCTTGCAACATGTGGTCGGGAATTATCTTGTTGGAAAGTTGGATCTGCCAGGGTGTCAAGATAGGGTAAAAGATGGGGTTCTAGAACTTCGTGGATATAACGCTGCGCGTTCATGTTACCTCTGATGAAGATTAAAGGTGACCTGGAACCATAAGCTATAGCACCCCAAACCATAACTCCAACAGTGTGCTGAACATGTCTTTCAACAAAAAACTGTGGATTCCTCCTTTCACCACGTCGCCTTCTAACCCTGGCACGACCATCGTGCATGCCTAAACAAAATCGAGACTCGTCACTAAAGACCTTCCATTCCTGATCCCAGAGTGACCGTTGTCTGCACCACTCAAGGCGATTACGTCGGAGTTCTCGAGTTAAAGGGAGGACCCAGTGTGGCCGGTATGAAAACAAGCCAAAACTTCTCATTCGTCGGTAAACACTTCGCATGCCAATAGGTCTTCCGTGTTCTGCAAACCATTCATTTGCAATGGACCTGGTAGTGGAGAAAAGGTCCCTTAAGGCCAATAATCTCAGGCGGCGATCTTCACGGTTTGTTGTTCTACGGCGGCGTCCAGTGCCCCTTGCTCTTTGCGTACGGCCTTCTCGAAGCCATGCCTGACAACACCTAACCACAGTGTCTACACTTCTTTGTAGTCTAACTGCAATTGCCCGAAAAGAAAGTCCAGCTTCCCGAGGTCCCACTATACGGCCCCTATCAAACTCTCTAAGTTGACGAAATCGTACAGGTCTCCGTACTCTAGGCATCGTAACCGATCGTAAAGGATGTCAAGAACCAAAATCCGCCAACGTTGATTCTTTACTGCGGTTGAAATATTCATTTTTAGAGCGTTAGTGAATTAAAAAAAAGCAGTATAAAAACCGGAATGTCCAACTGATAAGGCTGAAAATTTGTTCACTTGTTATTTACAGTAAGATAAATACATTCACCAACTTTTATTAAAATAAAACCATTTGAACTGGGTGTTCGGATTTATATGTCACTTAGTGTATTTATATTATTATTTTAGCGGTTAGGGGAAAAATAGCTTTCTGGGGATCTTTTGATGCTTCTTTGCACACCTTTTCCACGATAGGGCTTTCAACAACAAGTGTTCGATGTTCATGTGCTTATATCTGATAACAATAAAGATCAATTTTAAAAAATTCAGCTAGAATAAGACTGACTGTATGCTTTTTCGAGGTATATCATATGGGCATTATGATTTTATATTAAATAACTTGTATAGTTTTATATACTTGAATATTATTATTTCTTCATTACTCTACAACTCTATTTTTATTCATGTTTGCAATTTTATTTCATGACTGAGTTGAAAAATACCTTAAGGTAACACTCGCCATTTCGATTCTTAAATTTAAAATTCTTGAACTAACTATTCAATAATGTTGTCAAGAGCACACGGCTCAACTTTGTATTCAGTATGTTGCGAAATAAGAACTAAAAGGAGTTAAAATAACATTATTTCACATGACACAGGTACATTTGAAATTTTACGTGTATTATCAAGATACCTGTGAACGACTCCTCTATCATGGCAATATTCAACGGCATCCACCAGCTGGCGAAACCATTTTCTAGCTCTTGTTTCATCGATGTATTGGTCTTGCCTGATTATATCCAACAAACTTCCGTTTTCTGCGTACTCCATTATAATGTAGACCCTATGTGTAGTTTCGATGGCTTGTAGAAACCTTCAAATGAATCTTTTCTTAAAAAAAAGGAAATGCGTGAAGTAAGATCAAATTTTAACAATCGATGATACGTTCCCCTTTCAAAGTATATACAGGGTGTCCCAAAAAAGTGTGCAATATTCTACCAGCGGTTTCTAGAGCTTAAAATAGGAAGAAAAGCTCATATAAACATAGGTCGACAAATGTCCCCAAAGGGCGCTACGGTCTTTTAAAGGGCTCCCCTGAAGATGGGTTTTCCTTAATATTTTCGAAACGTGTTGAGACAAAGACATGAAATTTGGTATTATAGCCTAGTTTTTTATGCTGGATTTAAAAATATTAACAATTTTAGACAGTTTTGTTTGGAAGCGTATGTAACAGGGACGGACTCAGGTTATTTTAGCCCCAAAATTTTTGTGTGATTCTATTTTTGAAATTCAATTTTAGAATTTGAAAATTTAGGGCTTTCTACATAAAAAGGTACTTTTATTGAATATATATATATATAAGTGTATTGTCCACAAATATTTGAATTTTGCAGTGTTCTAAAATGTCAGAGATATCATTTATATAAGTAATAAATAGTAACGGCCCTAATTTACTCCCCTGTGGCACCCCTACTGATATATTTTGAACACGTGACATAATATTTCCAACTTTAGTATTTTACTTCTATTTTTTACTAAATAATTTTGTAAAATGTGTAATACCGATCTTTTAAAGCCATAGTGACGCAATTTAATTAACAATTTTTCCCTATCTATAGTCTCAAAAGCCCTTTTGAAGTCTAAAAATATTGTTTCTCATCTACTCGTATACTTCTTCTCCTGACCACTTTTTTATTTTGCCAGTGTTATTAGACGTTTTCTGACCTGATTAAGTTTGGATGTCTCAATCCTTTGACCACTTCAATTTCCCGTGGTAAGAATTTCTTGAGATAGTCTGCTGGTGCCGAGAATTTGCTAACAATCTTTATAGCTACATTCCCGTCATGCCGATCTGAATGCGCCATGCGCACAGTGGCGTATGAACCCGTTCCTATCGATTTACCTGTAATCAAAATAAAATTATCTATACATTCACATGGATTGTCGAATACTGTTCAATGGGGTACTTTCCAAAAATCTCATTTCGCGGAATATCAATATTTTGCCGTTCCAAAGTATACACTTCTAGTCTACAGAATGTGTCACTACTTTTCCCATGGATGAGAAAATAATCTGCACTTGTTTAATAATATACAGGGTGTTCCAGTTTATTGTTGTATAACTTTTAAAATTAATGCATAAGGTCTATATAAACATGGGTCGAAAAATGCGTGGCTTCCGAAATACAGGGTATTTAAATGTACTTTTTAAAATAGTTTTTTTTTTAAATATTTCGAACAATATTTGATGTATAATAGTGAAAATTGGTATACGAGGGTTTTTTGGTACGACAAAACGAACCATAGTTTTACTGTAGCCGCTAGAGGGCGCTCTCTACTGTACCTGTAGTGTATTAAAATGACCGAAAAATTTTTCTTAGTGCAATTTTTTGCTTTTTGAATAAAAAAGCTGATTCTTCGCACTTTTCAACATAAAAAAGCTCTCCTGTGAGTTTTCGTTATAGTTAACCGTTTTTGAGATATTTCGATTTTTAAGGTTCGATGCAATTTTAATTATTTATGGAAAAATAATATTTTTTTTTACATTTTCGATTTGGACATTACAAGTAATTAAGATGTACGTTTAGATTGTGTTTTTAAACACAGCAATAATTCCTAACTCCAAATAAACACAAAAAACAGAATATTAATTTGTTTAATTTTCCAATATTATTTTTAACAAATTAAATTAATTATTTACAACTAAAATGCTATTGGATAGTTAGGACAAACATACAAAATCTAAAGTAGTTGCTCGAAATGTAAACCCAATTGTTCAATACACAATTCACATCTACGAATGATTGAACGTATATAGCATTAGCATTATTCAAATAAAGCCTTATTTCGTCACATGGATTCCTGATTCTGTCTATTAGCATATCTCTTGTGGTTACGGGAGTCTGGTAAACTTTTTCTTTTAGAAATCTCCACACAAAGAAATCTAATGGATTTAGGTCAGGGGATCGTGGAGGCAGGCGACTGGTCCTCCACGGCCGATCCATCTTTCTGGATAATTTTCGTCCAGCCAGTTTCTAACTATGCTCGAATAATGAGCTGGACAACCATCAAGCTGGAACCAGGCCAATCTTCTTAAATCTAACATAACATCATCCCACATATTTGCATGTTCAGCGTTTAAAAATTCCAAGAAGGTCGCAGCATTTAATCTTGCAGGCAAAAGGTAGGGTCCAAATAGTCGATTACGGTAGATACCAATCCACATGTCCACACTAAATTCGTGCTGAAAATTTCTTTCCCGAACTGCATGCGGATTTTCATGCGACCAAATATGTTGATTATGAAAATTTACCACTCCACGTCTAGTGAAGCATGACTCATCGGTCCATAAAACGTTACTTAAAAACTCCCTATTATTGTCAGTTCTATCAAGAATCCACTGACAAAATGTGATTCTTTGTTCTCCGTCCCCTGGCTGTAGTCCTTGCACAGGTTGCGAATGGTGAGGACGTCTATGGTCATTTCTAAGAACACGGTGAACATGGCTTGCTGAAATTCCCAAGGCACCAGAAACTCTCCTAACACTTGTGGTCGGATCTCTATCAAACTCACGCAGAATCATACGGGTCAATCTGCGCTGACGAACATTTATGTTTTGATCCCTTTGGAGATTTCCAAAACCATTTTCAATTATTTGGCGATGCACTCTTACAAATACTGAGCGAGTTGGATGTCGTCTGTTTGGAAATCTTTGTGCGTATTCTCTGGCTGCTTCTGCTGCGTTTCCATTTACAAAGCCATACACAAAATGAATATCCGCTAACTCTTGATTGGAGAATAAAAATGGCATTTTTATAAAACTTACAAAAAAAACAGGTAAAAGAAACTAAATTTCGTGCATTCACAATTGCAAAAAACGTTTCAGGTTTCAACAGACAACAAAACTAACTGTCAACTAATTGACGTTTAACCTTATTCTGCTTTCAATTTCAAAAATATTTGCAGGCACAGCCTACTTCTAAAAATTATGGAGATACTGACTTTTTAGCGTTATTTTATCATAAATAATTAAAAATGCATCGAACCTTAAAAATCGAAATATCTCAAAAACGGCTAACTATAACGAATATTCACGAGAGAGCTTTTTTATGTTGAAAAGTGCGAAGAATCAGTTTTTTGTTCAAAAAGCAAAAAATTGCACTAAGAAAAATTTTTCGGTCATTTTAAGCGCCCTCTAGCGGCTACAGTAAAACTATTTATTATATATATATATATAAAAATTTTGGTTTAACTTAGAAAAACTTAATGCCATTTATATTATTTATTTCTAACAGATTCTCCTATCGCTTTTCTTTTCTTTGTATCAGCTTCAATGATTTTTACCGGCTAGACGAACATTTTTTGTGATAAAAAAAGTCGCTGTATATGTATATACTTTTACACATTATGATTCTTGCACTGTACCTATACCTATAATGTGATTTAACCTTTTAAAATGTTTTGTAATTGTAATGTCCTTATTTATTTTATAATTATAAGTGTTTTTCTGGCATATTTGCTCAAACGCATATATGACCCTCAAATTGATATTGACAAGTCTTATATCATGTAACATGATCTAATAGGACAATAAACTATCTATCTATCTATCTATCTATCTATTTGTTAATTACCTAATTTAAAAACGTTTTAGATTAGATTATAAAAATTAGTAAGATTGTGGTGATTGATCTATTGACTTTTGAACTATGGGTCATAAGAATTTTTTGACTTGTTTCGACTCCCCCTATTACCCATTTCAATAATGACTACCATAACGTTTACCATTATACATTACTAAAATATTCGAAAAAATAATGAGCTCGTACCTCAAAAGCGCTAAGGATTGAGTTACGAGGTTTCGACTTTATGACGACGATATGCCAAAAATTATTAAAATCGGATAAACATACGTAGGAGTTGATCTTTTTTTGTCACGTAGTATATTAGTTACTAATAAATATTTACCCAACAAGTGCGGAAAATACAATTTCAATACGCATCTGCGAGCAGAAAGTAGCGCTTATGCGGAAAAGTTGAAAATGAGTACTGCTGGTAGAAAAAAAATATGTATATACCCAGATAGTATCCATGCGATTCTAAGACGCTGAGTTTCTTTTCTTGCTTATCTGTGGCGGTCGAAGCAGCTTGGACAGGCGCAGAAGGTTGATGGACACTGGCGACAGGAGAGGACATCTCTTTTTCTTCCTCCTGGTCATTTTACTAGAATTTTGGAAGTGATCGACATTTTTGACACAACGATAATGACAGATGAAATGGGTTTGATTTATTTTTGATTAGTTGGTTGTTCACAGAGTGAGAAGTATGAGATGATTGACCAGTGACAGCACGTTCTCGCTTTGTAGCTTCCGTAAAATAAAAGGGCTGGCTGATGTATCGGGTCTGTTATACAGGGTGTTCCAAAAGGAAGTCGATATTTTGTAGGCTGAGATACTGAGAAAGCGTGGTTAATTAAACAGTTGCCCTGCAAATTAGTGAAAAATATGTTCAAAGATTCCATTACATACATACAGGCCAGGCTGATAAAAGCAAGAAATAAAAAAAGGTATACCACAGTCTGCCTCCTGTGATGGTTGAACTTACGACCCCTGGCTTACAAGACCAGTGCTCTGCCATTGAGCTACAGAGGCTTGTAGTTTCAGAATTCGTAAAGCGGCATTTGAAGTCCCTAGCTTATCAGTAACATATCTACTTTTCACAGAATTTTACTTATAAGGATAAGGAAAACTGTTATCAGATTATTGCATTCTCATCGGTCCTTGATACGTGTGCGAAGTTTCAAATTAATCAAACCTCCTACAATCACGAGCATCATCTGCTGAGGTAACGGGGGGGGTGAAAAGGAAACGATTGTGGGCTGGTCTTAGACGGTGGCCGGCGCTACTTTAAAAGAGGAAAGGATGACTGCGGGTGCCTACCCAGGTAAATTTTTATAATAACAGAGTCGGATTTCGATTAGCGATCTATACTACAACTATTTAAAACTGTAATGACTCATACGCGTGATCAACACGTGATCAGAGCTCGATCCCGGCTTCCTTCCAGTACATCCGTATAGCGTACGACATATGTCGTTTCTGTGGCTTTGCGGTGGTCAACAGCACAGACAGAGATGGAAATAATGGCTGATTGTTCTCCGCCGGTAGAACCAATGAAATCAAAAACGCGCCTCGACCGGCAGACTCATAGGCGTCGGCAACGCATTGGAACGTGTTTCGTTGAGCGATCGCATATTGTGTGTTTTTATAAGAATTGTTGTGTGATTGTTATTGTTGTGGTTTCTGTGGTTACTGTTTTGGTTATACTTAACCATGGAGAGTACAAATGGCACGAGTGGAAGTACTGAAAGCCAGGGAACAAGTAGACGGCTTCGTAAAGCACTGAAGAGGGACGCGAAAGAAATCGTGCTCAACGTGTTCAATTATCTGAACAGAACTATGTCGCAGGGAGATGCACTCGCGCGTTGTGAAAGTATGATAGGCGTTCCAGAGTGGACCATTCTCAGGGTGGTGCATGAAAAGAAGAAAACTGGAGCTACTACTGATCCAAAGTTTAATTTGAAGGGACGAAAGGTCGTTAAATTGGATGACGATAGCAAAATAGCGTTAAGGCGAACCGTACATTCATTCTTCTTTAGGAATGAGATACCAACCCTCAAGGCTGTACATGCAGCGATCAAGGAAAATGAAATTATACCCCAAATGAGCGTTGAGGTAATGAGGAAATCCCTGCACGAAATTAATTTTCGTTACGAAACGCGTAATCGGAAGTCAGTATTGATAGAGAGACCTGAAATAGTCGCCTGGCGTCAAAAATACCTACGCGAAATGATTGAATATAGGCGACAAAGCAGAAAAATCTATTATTTGGACGAGACATGGGTAAATGCAGGTCACACGGTTAAAAAACCTGGATAGACAAAAACGTAGTGAGTAACCGACAAGCAAGCATTGAAGGTTTGTCAACAGGTCTTCGTGGACTGTCAGGGAAAGGTCAAAGATTGATCGTACCTCATATTGGTAGCGATAGTGGCTTTTTAGAAGAGTGTGACTTGATTTTCGTCTCTAAGAAAGGAGGTGATTACCATGACGAAATAAATGCCAGCTGCTTCGAGAGCTGGTTTCAAGGGGTGCTTCAGCGAGTTGAGCCCAACTCTGTGATCGTCATGGATAATGCTTCCTACCATAGTCATCGAGCCGAACGTGTACCGACTATGGGATCTCGAAAAAGTGACATGCAGCAATTGTTGCGCGAAAAAGGAATCCCGTTTGACGATTCATGTGTGAAAGCGGAATTGTATGAAAAAATTAAACAGCACAAACCTGCGAACATTAGTTACGTGACTGATGAGATGGCCCGTCAATGTGGTGTCACTGTGCTGCGGTTACCGCCCTACCACTGTGAACTGAACCCAATAGAGCTCATCTGGGCTCAAGTGAAGGGTTATATTGCGCGCCATAACACAACCTTCAAATTACCAGACGTTAAGGTTTTACTTGAGACTTCCATACAGCTAGTAACGCCCGAAGCTTGGCAGAATGCTATCCGTCATGTTGTGAAGGAAGAAACAAAAATGTGGCAGCTGGACCATCATCATAGAGCCAGTTATAGTCAATTTCAACGAGGAAAGCGATAGCGACAATTTATTACTGTCAGATGTAAGTGGAAGCGACGATGAATAAAGGTAATTACCAAATTTTTGACTTACAATATGTTTCAAACCACTCTTTATTAAGCATGTGACAAATCTAGTTCACCCATGTTAAACATTCATACCCCGCCTATGAACAGCCGACTACTGGTAAAGATCGACCAGCCAAAGATTGCTAGGGACGAAAGGGGGAAATGCGATGAAAAAACCTTACCATTAGACGATTTTATATGGAGTCATAGGCGGAGATCGGAGAGACTTGAATTATTAATTGAATTTATATTTTATTACAACTGGTAGTATTAATATTTTTTTGCGATTCATAATGACGTGATACCAAACATACATTATAAGAAATAAATATACACAAACACTGAATATTGAGAACAAAATAAATATATTTTTTAGGCAACAAGTAATATTCCTATGTACGCATTATGATTGAACAGCAAAACAAATTATGCATTCTTCTAAAATAGAATACAACAAGTCAAAAATATCTGACTGAATAGAAAAATATAGGAAAACAAAAAGTAATTTCTTGATGAAATAACCCATAAACAACACATAGAATTAGACTTTCTACTGAGATACTAAAAGCCACAAACCAATAGTATAATAAATGAATATCTAAAAATTCTAAAAGGTAGCCAATCTAGTATAGTTTCAATCCTGATTAGAGTCATGATCACTGTCTGAGGAACTGTCATTGCTATCACTTTCACCTCCTATGTTGATTATTATTTCTTCCTGTATTTCTTGAATGAGACTGTCTTTTTCCCAATATTCATCTTCAATTTTTATAACATGTCCAATAACCTTTTGCCAGTCACTGGCACTTACTGAAGCGATGGCCTTATTAGAAATTTCATCTAGTTTTTTTATAGTAAATTCGCCGCTTGTATTATGGCTTCTAATGAAAAATTTTACTTGTGCCCAAATCATCTCTATGGGATTAAACTGACACATATAGGGTGGCGTTCGAAGTGGGGTGTGTCCGAAACTTCTTATTAAATTATCTATCTTATAATTTTTCTCATCAGATGGTGGCCTATGTAGACAAGCTATTTCATAAAGCTCCATTTTTTTAGCATTAGGATCATGCTCTATACCTTTTTTGCTCAACCACGTGATGATGTCTCTTTTTAGAGAAGATCTAGTTGGAGGCTTGTCTTCCAAAGCTGAATGGTAAGGTGCATTATCCATTATTATAATACTATTAGGAGGAATGTTAGGAAATAGTTTTTCAGTAAGCCACTTCGTGAAATTTTCTTGGTTCATTTGACCGTGATAATCACCAGTGGCACAGCCAGCCTTGAAAATGAGACAGGCTCCAGGAACAAAACCATCTTGCGAACCCGCATGAACAATTATAAGTCGTCCTGGAAATGAATAAATAGCCTCATTTTAGTGTTATTTTAAGTTTGCCAACACCTTTTTGAATCACTATGTATAAAAAACATATTTTTGAGAAAAAAATACTTGCAAGGGATTATGTATTCAATTAGACAAATTAAATGAGCACTTATTAAGAATATTCCAAAATTGAGAAAAATGTATAATAAGCAAAATCGAGGTGAAAGAAACTTTATTACCTGTAGAACTTATATTGCTCAGGACACCCATAATTTCTTCGCTTTGCCAGCATTTCTTGAAAGTGAGGTCATTATCAACCCAAGTTTCGTCCAAATAAATAATATGCCTTCCTTCTTCCCGGAACTTTTTAATAGACCTAAGATACTTGTATCGCCAATGTAAAATACTGGGTCTTTCCATTAGTAATTTCCTTTTGTTGTGGCATTTACGCCAGTAAAATCCTTTTGCTTTTAAAAGCAGCCTCAACGATTCTTTACCAAATGGAAATTCCATTTCTTCCTTCAGTTTGATTAGAAGTTTACTACAAGTAGGTACCACTTTAAAATCACAGTAAAATTTTTCTATCATTCTCCGAATAATGGAAAAATCGACTCCATCAATTTTTTGGATCACAGAAGGGCGTGATCTCTTTTTTCCGGGAGAAGCTAAAGGCTGTGTGGAGGTTGCATTTTGCCTGTCTTTATCTTCTTTTCTAATTTTACTTATAGTTCGTTCACTAACACCCGTATAATATGCCGCCCTTGCATTTCTAGCTACCAGTGGATAAACGAAAGTATTGTTAGCCGCTTCTGCATCGCAAGCACGTATCACGTTTGCTATTATTTCCCTTGCCTGGCTGTGAATAACTTTCCCATGCTTGAATTCCATTATCACCACTAAACAGTAAATTATATTTTCAAAGTATTTGCCAACTGCCTACGCCTATGGGAGTAGGTTTATAAATGACCGTGCCATCGGCACGTTATTCTAGTTTCAGATAAGATAAGAGTTTTGGACCAATCAGCGACCGGATGTTTACCTGCGGCCTGGGTTTTCCAGCTACATTGCCAAATTCAGCGGAACAATTCTATATCTTAAATATGTTAATATGTATGGACCGCATTTTATGTAGAACATCTGACAACTTCGCAATTTTTTGTCCGCATTCTTTCGGCTTGCAATCTTTCGCTGGTCCAACAGTAGTTAAGTGATGTTCACGTGAACATCGATGAGTCATTATAGTTTTAGATAGTTATAGTATAGCTTGTAAATCGTTTCCTATTTTGGTACTCACCTAGTGAT